AAGAGGGAGAGTGGATGGGGTGGGAAGGGGATATGCCAGCTTGAAGCGACGAATAAGCTGGGCAGGCACACCCCTCCCCTTCTCCCTATCCTTCCTCATCTCCCCACCCTCTCCCCCAGGTACTCCCTCCCCTCCCTTACTAATGTGAGGGGAAGGGTAATGAGTGCATGTGGTGGGGGATTTGAGGTGGAGGGAGCAGGTAGAGGGGAGATATGTAGCTGAATACATCATATTTTCTCTCTCTCTCTCTCTCTCTCTCCATTTAATCAGCTTTCCTTCCTCACCTCCCACCCCTTCCTCCTTCCCTCTCCTTCCTCCTTCCCTCTCCTTCCTTCTTCCATCACCCATCCATCCTCCCTCCTTCATTCCTCTTCCCCCATTCCCCCTCCCTTGCACTTCCCTTCCCTCCTTATGTTTTTATAAAGGTTCAGAGGAAGAGGGGAAGAGGAGAGAGAGAGAGGGGTGAGGGTGGGGGAGAGAAGGAGAGGGCTACAGGTGAGGAATAAAGGAGGAAGGTAGGGGTGAGGGAGGGCAGTGAGGGAAGGTAGGGTGAGGAAGGTGAGGAAGGTGAGGAATGGCAGGAGGAAGGCGAGGAAGGTAGGGTGAGGAAGGCGAGGAAGGTAGGGTGAGGAAGGTGAGGAAGGTGAGGACGGCAGGGTGAGGAAGGTGAGGGCGGCAGGAGGGGTGAGGAAGGTGAGGACGGCAGGGTGAGGGCGGCAGGTGGGTTGGCTCTGATATGTCGATTGTTGCAGGATGGTGGGTGTCGTCTTGAACCTGGACCACCACCACCACACACCACCACCACCACCACCACCACCACCACACCACCACCACCACCACCACCACCACCCCCCACCACCACCACCACCACCACCACCACCACCACCACCACCACCACCACCACCACCACCACCACCACCACCACCACCACCACCACCACCACCACCACCACCACCACCAATTAACACCACCACCACCACCACCACACCAATGACTATTATCATCGCCCCACCACCACCACCACCACCACCTGCACCACCATTGCCACCACCACCAAAATGCATGCCACCACCACCAAAATGCATCTTATTGCCAATCAGTCAATGCGTCATGCAGCTAATCATGCCTCTTATAATTCTCCAATCACTGCGTCTTGTAGATAACAAATCAGAGCGTCATGCAACCATTCAGTGCGTCATACAACCATTCAGAGCGTCATGCAATCATTCAGAGCGTCATGCAATCATTCAGAGCATCATGCAATCATTCAGAGCGTCATGCAATCATTCTGAGCGTCATGCAACCATTCAGAGCGTCATGCAATTATTCAGAGCGTCATGCAATTATTCAGAGCGTCATACAGCCATTCAGAACGCCATACAACCATTCAGGGCGTCATGCAACCAGTCTACGCGTCTTGTAACCAGTTAATTAGTATGCCACATTGCCAGTCAATTCGTACTGTAGGCATTGAGTCATGCAGAGTGAAATGGAGTGGCGTGCATGACAATAACGAGGGTCTCAGTACTCACCACTAGAAGACGCCACCACTACCACCAACACTATTCCCACCACCAACAACACTACCACCACCACCACACTACCACCACCACCACCACACAACATCCAGCTATCACCACTACCACCAATCACCGCGTGCGTGTGTGGGGATGGTTATTGTGGTGGTGCTTGGTACAGCTAATGGAACGAGGCGGAGGAAGAATGAAGGAAGACAGAGAGGGTGATAACAGGAATAAGTACATGTTTTTGGCCCGATGCCGAGGACCCAACCACGACGATGGTGGAAAAGGCGTAGCTGAGAGAGAGAGAGAGAGAGAGAGAGAGAGAGAGAGAGAGAGAGAGACCACACGGGTATCCCTCTGTCACACTGCATGGTGGGCACAGAGAGGAGACGGAGAGAGAGGTAGAGAGGAGTAATGGTGGAGGTGAAGACGGAGATGACACTTCCGGTACGCCAGTCATGCCTCCTAGTTACGCTCCTCAGGAACGCCAGGTGAGCACAGCAGAGCACACTGCATGTACACACGTCAGATACACACGCCAGGTACACGCATTTGGTACACGCACCATGTACACACTTCAGATACACACGCCTGGTATACACGCCAGGTGTACACACCAAATACACACGCCAGGATTACACATCAGGGTACACACGCCAGGTACACACGCCAAGTGCACACGCCAGGTGTATTGAAAGACTGGATGATACTGAACACCATACAAACATCTCAAAGTAACACCTACCGTCGCCATCCTCCCTCCCTCCCTCACACCTCCTCCTCCTCCAGTGACCCAGGCTCACCATCTGGCTGGGTCACCACACTCACTAGTCACCCTCGTCCATTATCTTCCCCATAATTTGACCTAATGAAACATATAATAATGGTTGCCCCTCGTGTTACGAGGATGGCCGGCCCAAGGGCCACCTAGGCGTGAATTTGTTTAAGGTGTAGAAGCTATCGCCAACACAACAACCACACCCTGAGCTAACGAGTTGCACGACCCAGTGTCAAGGAATAGTCCGCGAAGACCGGACAACTCGCCAACTGCACTGGCTAACCTTTACCATAGAATACGATCCGCAAATCGATTAACATCCAGGTTCCCACATAACAAGTTAGATGCGTCTGTCAGCTGATATTAAAGCAAGGAAACATATGTACGAAGCCTTGGAACTCAGGATTAGTTTGTTGCGTATTGGTGTCTTCATAAACAAGAGAAAATCGATTGGGAAAGTTTGAGAAATACTGTGCCAAAAGAGTGCCAGTTTGCTGCTCTTATGTATCATGTTATGGGAGTAAATTTAACCTACGAACCACTAAGAATGCCGGTCAGTTTAAGGGGTATTCTTCCCTTCGTGTTTGTGGGTAAAATTGATTGAGGAACTTTTGAGTATCGTGTGTGTTAAGAGTACCAGTTAAATACCCTCGTGTCTGGTGGAACATTAACACAGGAAGTTGTGAGCCTCGGGGTGCCGGGGTGAGTGTGTTGGGCAGGTCGCCGTTACGTTACACTCCCTGGCCCAGAGAACCGGTATGTTGGGCACCACAGTGGGCCCACCAGCAGGAGGCCGCCCCTCCCTCCCTCCCTCCCTCCCTCCCTCTCACCTGGCGGAGCAAATGATTGTCATTGGTGGGGTGAGGGGAGGAGCTGGTGAGGACCTACTGTATACTCGTGCCATAAAAGAAACACTTGTTGCAGACAGAAAGCGGGCGAACGTTAGTCTGGCGTAGCCTTCATAAACCTGTCATAGTCATGCCTGAGGGGGCCAAGACCTGCCTGCTGGTAACCACTGCTCGTCCCGCTAAAGAACGCCACTGCAGACATAAAGCGAGAGAACGTTAGCCTGGTGTAGCCCCCAGCGTTTACGTGACATTGCCAGGTGTAGCCATGAAAGAAATAAACTCCAGGCGGTGTTGATTGCTCCTCCGGGCGGCGCTGTGGATGGTATGGGCTCCTAGAACCACAGGGACCTTTACACTGAGTTCACCTGGGATTTGCTAGGCTCTCCTGGGCTTACCTGGGACTATATGGATTACTAACTAGGATCTGGGAGCTGCAATCTGTCTAATGGTTTGTACAAGAGTAAGTGTTTCCCGGGTGGGCGAGGATATATTTATTTATTTATTTCTCTCTATTATTTTTCATCCATGACCGAGATTCACCTAATTGGCAATAGAATGGTGGGAAGGGAAGAGTGCGTGCGTGGTATTAGACGAAGTTACGTGTGAAAGTAAAACGACTTCAGCTAGACACCACTCTTTCCCCAAGTGTTCGTCAGGCAGTGTTTGCCACCAAGAACAATGATTAGTGCCAGGTGTTCTTCCTCTTAACCCGGCCATGATGTGCTTATGGTAGATATTACAGCCAATTTGCGTTCGACCTCGCTGCTTCTGCCGAAATTGGTGTTTTTATGTAGTAAGTCAACGAGCGTTTGCCTGTATTAAACCATCATTGGGAGGTGTGTGTGTGTGTGTGTGTGTGTGTGTGTGTGTGTGTGTGTGTGTGTGTGTGTGTGTGTTTAGCTAGCGTGGTCCAACTAACTAGCTTGGGGAAGTATTTTTAGCTTGTTGACGCCTGGTGAGGAGGAAGAAGAAGTGGGAAGGAGTAAATAAGATGTAGAAAGAATGAGAAACAGGTGAAGTTGAAGTGAAAAGAAGGAGAGCGGTAAAGAAGGGAGTGAAGAAGGATGAAAGGAGAAGGGAGGGGAAGTCAAAGGATGAAAGAACGAGAAAAGGAAAATGGAAAAGAAGAGAGGAAGGATGGAAAGTGAAGGGTGATTAGGAAAGCCTGGAGAAGACCTTGGGCGTGTGTCTGTTCTCCCACAGTTACCGGGAGGAGTTCGTGTGACGTGTGTGAGGAGACGCGGGTGTCAGAGGACGAGGCGTGCATGGTGAGGGTCACGAAAAAGAGGTAGATACTCAGCGTCTGACAGCCCCTACCACGCCTAGCAGCCCCCGCGCCCCCTCTCCGTCACGCCAGGCAGTCATTTACCACAGGCAGTCCCTCAGTACGTCTAGCAGTTCCCCGAACCTCATAGTCCCTTACACCTGACAGTCTCCCACGCTTGGTAATAACCGTACCTGGCAATTCTACACGTCTCCCCCACCACACATGACAGAACCCCATGGCAATCCCATACCCCTCCCCATCACGCCTGGTAGTCCCCAGCACCGCGCCTCCTTTTCACCACGCCTGGCAGTCCCCAGCGACTGGCAGTAAGCAGCCCTCCGCGTCTCTTCCCCAACACTTCTGGCAGTCCCTAGCGACTGGCAGTCCCCAGCGACTGGCAGCCCTCCGTGCCTCCTTCTCACAACGCCTGGCAGTCCCCTGCGACTGGCAGCCCGCTCCTCCTTCCCACCAAGCCTGGCAGCCCCGCGGTGCGCGCCAGCCAGCCAGTCATTCAGTAGCGGAGCAGCGGCCAGACAGGAAGGATCAGACGGGCCGTAGTGTGTGGTGTTCTCAGTCTGGCTCACTCGCCTACCTGGTCACCCACGACCCTTGCCCGCACCTTAACCACTGTGATTACTTGTGTAGTGGTGTACCTGTGTGTGGGGGAGGTGTAGTAGCCTGTAGTGGAAAGAGAACTCCAGTGCTCAAGATACCCCAGGTAGAGAGAGAGAGTGTGTGTGTGTGAGAAAAGAGAGAGAAAAAAAGAATCGCGGTCATGAAGTTTTCGTGCATGCCAATGGGGTTGCTGGAGGAGGTGGTGAGGTGAAATTCTGTGGCGTTAGAGACAGTGAACTTGTGAAACTGGACAATGTTTTGAGGGAAAAGTTTAAACTTATCAGTGAGATAAAGAAGACTGTTTTAAACAGTTAATGAAAGAAGATGTATTGGAAATTCACCTGTGAGAGAGTCGCTAAAGTGTGACCCTTGCGAGACCTACCTAGAAAAAGGCTTCCTGTGTGGTTGGTTAAGCAAGGGTGTCGCAACCTACCTGGAATGTTGCGAGGACACCTGCACCCTTGCCCCTGGTGACGTACAGTACGTGGCACACTTGATGGGGACGCTGGCAAAGGACAGGTGTTGGTAGAGGTATACATGAGGGGAATGAGAAAGGTTTATATAAGTGTTGGGCGACGGTTGTTGACGTTGGGGGACTGTTGTGATGTGCAGTCCCCCACAGGCTTGATGTGTAAGTGATGCTCAGGTAGCGTATGGGGGAAGGGGCCCAGACTTCGAGGGTGACAACCTGATCCTCCAAACTGTTGTTACTTGAAGCACTCAACACCAGCATGATGACAAATATTATAAAGAAACTTATACATTATATTCTTAAAGATACTGGTGTTGTGCAATGTCTCTTACCCGAGTTGAGAATAAGACAAACTTTCTACATTATTGTACTTCCTTCTCGCTGACCGAACCTTACACATTCTACCAGATCTTTTACTCCAACAGTCTCAGTACTTGTGTGTAATTTAGGAACCAGATCTTGACTAGTATCCGTGTGTAAATGATGACATACAGCTGACGTCGATGTTCCGAGGTCTTCCCAGTAGTGAGGATGATGTATTGTATTAGTGTAAGTAAGCAGTGAGTCTCCAGTGTGTATTACGTAACTAGTTTGGGGGAATTTTCCGGGTTTAATAATTGTGAAAATCCTCTTTGTCTATCCGTAATGTTGGTGAGGGATGGTTATTGTGGGTCGTAGTGTTGGTGATGGATGGTTATTGTGGGTCGTAGTGTTGGTGAGGGATGGATGTTGTGGGTCGTAGTGTTGGTGATGGATGGTTATTGTGGGGTCGTAGTGTTGGTGATGGATGGTTATTGTGGGGTCGTAATGTTGGTGATGGATGGTTATTGTGGGTCGTAGTGTTGGTGATGGATGGTTATTGTGGGGTCGTAGTGTTGGTAAGGGAGAAGGACGTCAAGGGAGGCTTAAGGATACAACTTAATATACAGAGAAGGGGCGGCAGAGGAGTGGAAATCCCCCTCCATCCCTCCCTACTCCTTCCCCGTCAGTAGTAACACATACGAAGGACTGCCTCACCCACCCTGCCTCACCCACCCCTATCCTCTCCCTCTACATAAGTGATCTTTTTCCTGGTGTTAATATGAAATGTTTACCGTATCGACTCGTTGCTTCAGGTGCTCCTAAGGGTTTAATACACCGTCACGAAATCACCTTAAAAGTAATTACTCCTTTAACTAACATGTATTATTGTTTCATTATATTGGATCACCTGAAGGTTTAATCATCAGGTGAAGTATACTGAGGTTATTTAATATTTATTTAGGTGGAAAAAATCTCGTATGAAAAACTTTACATCGATCGGTTTATTTTTTTCACTTATGTATTCATACGTCTATCTGTGTGTTTGTGTATGTGATTGATAGTAAATTCATCTGGTTATTTTTTTGTGGATTGTTAACACCCCCCCCCCAAAAAAAAAATCCCGAATGCCTGATTGGTAGTTGACGTTAGTACTGTAATTAAATGTTTACTTAATTCATTCAGTAATTACAAATGAGATCTGATGTTGCTTAAATTATTTGTGTAATTTACGTATCTCTAATTACTTACATTAAAAAAAGTAATTATTCTTCGATTTTTTATTAATTACTTATATATTAGTTATACATATTAATTATTTTCTCTTAGTAAAAGAAAAAGATAAAATTGTCCCTTAGATAAAAAATAAAAATCAACTCGTTTATTATTTTTATTCAGAAGTATAATGTATAAATTTATTCACTTACCGTTGATCAAAGAAGACGGATATGCATTTACCTCCCTGACTGACATATCCTTATTATCTAGTTGTTTATATACTTCCTCCCTTTATCTAGTTGTTTATATACTTCCTCCCTTTATCTAGTTGTTTATATACTTCCTCCCTTTATCTAGTTTATATACCTACTCCCTTTAGGTATCTGGCGTAAACAAAAGGAATAATTATCACAAACTTGGCGAGTCGTGGCTTCATCCTAATACTCCCACAGGAATACTTTGTGCACCAGGAATTTAATTTAGTGTTTAATGAAGGATTCCTAAGTTGATTGAGTCGGTGGCTATTTGTGGCTGAGCGTTTAAGGGTGATTGGATTGGCTGGTGATGATGACGTGTACAGTATCTTATTGTGGAGATTCGTTATTCCCTTTGTATGTAATCTTATCCAATCCGTAATGTAACTTAAACTTACGTGTGGTAATTTGAATGTAACTTAATCTTGTTCCTAAATTAACTTAATCTGATTTTGTTCTGCTCCTAGATTAACTTAACCTAATTTATCCTTTTCCTAAATTAACTTAACCTAACTTGTCTCATCCCCTCACCTTAATTATAATTTAAATTGCCTTAACCCCTATCAAACTTACTCTTAACTTGACCTCACACTAGTCTAACGTACCCTTAACCTAATCTAGTTCACCACTGCAAGTCCAAGGATTGGTTACGCATAATTTGACAGAGAGTTGGGATTATGTCAGCGTGATTGGGTTTGGGTCTTGTTACGGCCAAATGAAACCTTGGATTTTTGCAGTGTGATTGGTCTTGTTATTGTTTGGAGTGATTGGATAGAATTCTTGTTTATAGCCGTTGTGTTGGGGGAGTGATTGATTGTGTAGAGGTTTTGTTTACGTCTGTTATTGATGGTTGAAATTGTTTATAGCTGTTGTTTGGGAGTGAATGGATGGAGGTTATTGTTTGTTTTTAAGATGGAAATAAGTTGTTCTTCTATAGATATTTGTTTGACGACTAGGGAATAGAGTATAAAGGTAGAGAGTCAAGTTTAAGTTAATGTTTCTCTTGCTCTTCTTGGTCCTTGGGAGGGATGAGGGGGGGGGGGGAACTGCTACATGTCTACTGAGAACGGTGTCAGGTCTTCCAGGAACTTCATTGGTGTTTGGACCTTGAGATGCACAACCTTCCGAGCGATAATTTTCGGTTGGTGAGGATCTGGTCTGTATCAGAAGAACTCAGACCTGACGTAGACTGTGTATTGAATATTCAGTGGGTCTAACTATGGCATAGAGTATAGACGGTGTTTTAAGTGGTACTCAGACTTTAGTATTCGGAGGTATTTAGACTGGCGCTAGAGTGTGTGTGTGTAAGGACTTGGTTTGTGTCATGGGTTGGTATTTTGAGTGGCCTGAAGCATGTATCATGTATCCCCTCACACATATGGAGGTCGTGCAGGTTATATACAGTCACATTGCGTCACACTCGACTACTGGAGAGAGGAGGATGTGGGAATAAACTTGGCTGTAAGGTTATATCATAGGGGTTAGTGGATGCATAATGATACGACAGTCATAATATGTGGTTGTGGGTTTATACAGAAGGACCCTGTGTTATGCGTAAAGCAGGAATATATAATGCATGTGGTCATACAGAAGGACAGAGCCTTTGAAACTCTCTGAAGATTGAAGAGTAACACAGGACTTGGTGGAGACTCTGGGGGTCAGGAGTTTGATAGGGAACATTTTTAAGGGTCCTGTACTGGAGGGTCGGGTGTGGGACGTCCCTGGAAGGCGGTGATGCATCACGCAGGAGGAAGGACGCCACGTTCATTACCCAGCGGACGCAGCTAGCATACGGGATGTTTGTGAAAGTCGTCCGCCGCGGTGAAACGAGTGAGTGGAGTGAGCGTTCAGAGTCGAGGTGAAGTTGTGGTCCCCGCCACCTTGACTCTGGTGGCGCTATTTCTACTTCGTTTATGTTTCGACGACATTTATTCGTAGTTTCGTCTGTACGTTAATATTTTTATCATACTATCATTATTGTTTTGGTGTTCTCTTTGTTGGTGTGACTCACTTTCCTCGCTGGAGTGAATGTTATGGATTTTCCTGGTTTGCTGTGTTTCAGCCTCGTCTGTCTCAGTGTATTTTTTGTGCCACTAATTCAGACGTGATTTATTTAGGTGTATTAGTGGTCAAATTTTTCAAGAATTTCAATAGAGTTTAACCAGTTCTTTTAGAGATACTTGTCTTTTTGTAACAGTTCACATTTCCGTGTTCCAGTGTTGTTTTTACCCCACAGCCCTCTATTGTCGGTCATTCTTCTGGGTGTGAATAACTTCATTGTCTCCGTGTTGTGTATATCAGCCGTTCAGTGTCTTGTGTACATTGTGGATTGTTTCAGTATTGGATTTCATCACTCTAGTGTCTCTCTCGAGTGCGTTCCTGGAGTGTGTGGTCACTGATGATATCTCAGCCGTCAAGAGGAGCATATATATTGGCCCAGTCTTCCGGTACTGGACGCTAACACCGGAGAAGGAAAAGGTGTTTGGGGCCATTGAAATCACTTGACGTTTAACCCCCCCACCCCGACCATTGCTTCATTACTACCATCCCTCTATTGGTGGTTCCAAACTACAACTACTGCCACTGCTTCGATACACAGTACTTTAAATTCGAATCCAGTTCATCGTGGATCTATGCACATGGAAATTTAAACGTATTAAGTAGTGGACGTGAATACAAATACATCTCTTTTGTGTTATAGTTCTTCGTTTTAGTAGGAATTATGGTGGACAATTTTTACGTTTCATGATATTTAACAAACTTGAAACCTCATAAATGAATAAAATAAATAAATAAAGAAATAAAAATTAAAAAATACACAAAACGTAACTCCGCATCATCAAAAACCTCCACTAAGTC